CTCATAGCGACCCCTCCTTGGGTTTCCTAGGGGGTATCACTATGGAAGTAGATTGCCCAACCTTTCTTCCGAGGAGTGGCTGGTGGGTTTGAACCACCAGCCTTCTGGTTAGCAGTCAAATGCCTTAGCCACTATGCTTTAGTATATTTAAATTTCCAGTTTAGTCAGTTACTTCAGGAAATCCTAGCATTCTTACTTCACTAATTTTTAATTACAAAAATAAGAAAGAACTCAGATTAAACTATGAAGATAGTAAAGTGTAAAACATTCACTTCTATTTCCTTCTTTCAGAACCAGGAATTTCATAGATCTGCGTGATGGCTGCTGAAAACCACACTTTGTTTACTGACTTCATATTCTTAGGGTTTACTCGCAGAAAGGATGTGCAGCAGGGGCTCTTTGTGCTCTTTCTCCTAGTTTATGGGGTAACCGTGACTGCAAATCTAGGGATGATCCGACTGATCAAGATGGACTCCAGACTCCACACGCCCATGTATTACTTCCTGAGCAATCTGTCTTTCTGTGATGTCTGCTACTCTTCCACTGTCTCTCCCAAGATGTTGGCTGATTTCTTCTCTGAAAAAAAGAGGATTCCATATAATTTATGTGCTGTTCAGATGTATTTTTTTGGGACCTTTGCTGATGCCTCATGTTGGTCGCCATGGCCTATGACTGTTATGTAGCTATTTGCAATCCACTTCTTTATACAATTGTCATGTCTAGGAAGGTCTATACCCAGCTAGTGGCTGGTGCTTACATTGTAGGGTTGGTGTATTCAGCGATCCACACTTGTGGCATTTTTCAACTGTCTTTTTGGACGTCCAATGTTATCAATCACTTTTTCTGTGATGCCCCACCCTTGTTAGGCCTTTCCTGCTCAGATACATCCATCAATGAGATAGTGATGTTCACTTTGATTGGCTGTGTTGTGGGGTGCAGCATAGTAACCATTCTCCTCTCCTACAGCTTTATCATAACTACCATCCTTAGAATAAACTCAGCTGAGGGAAGACACAAAGCCTTTTCTACATGTGCCTCCCACTTAACAGCTGTAGCTATATTCCATGGTACTCTCCTGTTCATGTATTTCCGACCAAGCTCAAGTTACTCAATGGACACTGACAAAATGGCATCTACTTTCTACACAGTTGTGATCCCTATGTTAAACCCACTGATCTACAGCCTGAGAAATAAGGATGTGAAAGATGCCCTGAAAAAAGCAATCAGTACTAAAATGGGTTCTGGGTGAGACCATGTTTGCTAAGTAAAAGTATTAATTTAAGTTTCTTAGAGCAAAATTTAAGTACTTTGACATAATTGCACACATTTTCAGCAATACAGACTTGTAAATATTCACTTTTAGTGACCTGACTCATAGCTACCCCTCCTTGGGTTTCCAAGGTGGTATCACTACAGAAGTAGATTGCCCAATTTTCCTTCCGAGGAGTGGCTGGTGGGTTTGAACCACCAGCCTTCTGGTTAGCAGTCAAGTGCCTTAGGCACTACACTACCAGTGCTTCCAATATAATGCATATGCTTTCAAATATTTTAACAGTGGAAGTATCTATATTGTACCTAAACTGCTAAAAATATCACTTCTTACCATTAAATCTCTGTGTTCATATTAAATACTGCCACTCTGAAACTCTAAAGTTGGACATCACCCTTAATTTCTTCAACTCTCTCCTCTACCACCTCCTGTGCATCCAAAATTCTACAATTAATATCTCGGCCCTGTCCAATTCCCATTATCTTACTAATCAATGTTTCTTTCATTTCTACCCTTATCTGTTGACCAAACCAATTTATCATTGCTTTATCTTTACTCTTGTCTGATCCATTTTCTTTTCCTCTCATTAATATCCTACAATCACACAAACTCCCTGTGATGTAGTAAATTAATGTTATGACTTTTCTAGCCATAAATCTTTCTAAACTTCATGGTGAAATTTGCTGTGAGAAACTGAGTATTTCTTGATTGTTAAAGTTGCCCACCTGAGGTATTTCTGTTGGAAGCAGCACAAAGGAAATTTCTGGGAAATTCTCTCTCAGGTGTATAGAATTCTGACATTGGGATTGGTTAGTGGTCACTCTGCTAGGCTCAAAAGGAGCCCTTCTAGACGCAGAAGAAGTCTCTCTAATTGCTGGCTGAGAAAGATGTGTTGCTTAGAGAAACACACTCCTGAGAGACATGCACTGCTGAGAGACACCAAGAGACATGCACTGCTGGGAGAGAGACTGAGAGAGACTCTTGGCTGAGAGTTGGTGGTTTGAGAGAAACTGAACATTGTTCCTGAACTTGAATTGTAGCCTGGTGCTTCCCTAATAAACCCGATAATCTGTGAGTTCTGTGTGGCCACTGTGATGAATTATCAAACCCAACAGAGAGGTGGTGGGTGCTGGGGAAGGAACAGTTGGTGTCAAGGCTGATGAATGGACTGGAGGGACACAGCATGTGTGGCCCCACAGGAGTGGCCTTGGGATACTAATGGTGATTCTATTTTCCTCTTGTGTGGTTAGAGGAGGTCAGAAGATACAGCTGCCCTCCTCCTTTGGCACTCCCGCTAACCCATTAAGATCTTGTCTCCACAGAAGGGCCACTGCTTGTCTCTATAATAGGTTGCTGAATCTAAGGGCAAGTTGCCACCTCTGGGAATGATGCAACCTCATGTGTATAAAGCTGGTTAAAAAATAAAATAAAACAAAATAAAAGCTCATAGCTATTGAGTTGTTTCCTACTGACAGTGACCCCCATTGGGTTTCTAAGGCAGTAAATCTTTATGGAAGTAGATTGCCCCATCTTCTTTCCACTGAGCACTTAGTGGGTTTGAACCATTAACCCTTTGGCTAGCAGGCAAATACTTTCGGCACTGTGCCATCAGAGCTCAATTAGCAGGCTGACATTTTCGTGCAAAAGAAAACATACTCCATTATTCAGGGAGTCTCACTTCTTTGTCAGAAAACAGCTCAGCTAAGTAAAACAATGGGATTTCACTTAACATTCACACTGCTAAGCTAGTGCCTTAGTAGAGTGCTGCACAATCTCTGTAGTTCAGGACCTTTGCATATGCAATTTCTTCAACCCAGAACATTTTTATTCCTACATGTGTTACTCTCCAAGGTTCAACTTACTTGCTGACTCTTCAGAAAGGTCTTTGCTGACTAGGTATAAGTACTCTAACCACGATCTCTGTCTCTTCATCCTAGCCATTCTCTTCATAGCACTAACACAACTTGCCGAAAAATATAAATGAATAACTAAATAAATAAAATAAAGTCTTAATTTATTATATGTCTCCCTCCATAGATTGTATGATCTCTGAGGACACAAATGATTATATTTACTTATTTATTTCTGTTGTTGTACAACAAATGCTTGATATTACTGATCCACAGTGGATTCTTATTTAACAAAGATTTAATAAATAAAACATAATCCTTGATATGTAAACAGTGATAGATTTAGTTTACAAAAAGGCAATGGCCAGACCATATATGACAATGCACTACGAACCCACAGTTTCTTCAGGAATCAGCCAAACCAGAATCTTTTCAGCAGTTGTTCCAGAATAATCATGATTTGGTAAATGTCATGCCAGCTACACTCAATTTTTTTTCTTACTTCTGTTTAATACTTAAACACAAAGAGAAATATCAGAAATTAGTGTAAGAGAATATATTTATTGTGAGTAGATACGATTCTAAGAAGCTCTGGTGTCACAGTACCTAAGGCATTTGACTGCTAACCAGAAGGTTGGAGTTCAAATCTAACAGCAAATCTGTTGAAGAAAGATAGGACAATCTACTTCCTTAAAGATTTACCTCCTTGGAAAACCAATGGGGCTCTCTATAAGTCAGAATTGTCTCTAAAGCAGTGAGTTTTATTTTGTTTTATATTTTTGGAAGCTCTGGTGGTGTAGTGCCTAAGGCATTTGACTGCTAACCAGAAAGCTGGTGGTTCAAACCCACCAGCTATTCCTCAGAAGGAAGGAGGTTGAGCAATCTACTTCCATAGTGATACTGCCTCGGAAACCCAAGGAAGAGTCAATATGAGTAAGATCTGAATCAGTGAGTTTGTTTTGTTTTGTTTTTGTATATCTATCTATCTATCTATGTATAAACACACTTCTATTTATTTATTTATTTATTTTGGGCTATATAATTCAAATCAAGTAGAGTCATGTGGTATTTCATATTATTTGGTTACACAATCAACACCAATAGAAGCAGCAGTCAAGAAATTAGATGATGTATTGCACTGGGCAAACCTGCTGCCAAAGACCTCTTTGAAGAGCAGAAGAGTAAAGATATCTCTTTGAAGAGTAAGGTGCACCTACCCCAAGCCATGGTATTTTCAATTGCTTTATATGTTTGTGAAAGCTAGACAATGAATAAAGAAGAAAGGAAGGCTGAATAAGAATGGATGCTTTTGAATTGTGGCATTGGGGAAGAATACTTAAAATACCTTGACTTTGAGATCCGGCAAGATGGTGGACTAGGCAGAAAGACTACACAGACCCTCTTCAACAAAAATAGGGAAACCAATTAACACAGACACAGAAGATAATCCTGGACCCCTGAGCCTTCAAGGGAAGGATATACAAGTGGACTAAACCCCAACTAGTAGAAGAATTTGTGTGAAAATACCAAAAAAGGAGACAGACTGAGCTGTGGTCTGGCAGCAAGCCTGAGCAATCCGGACAGCACAGACAGCTTGGAGATTCCCAAGTGGTGGTAGGACCTAAGAATTAACCTAAAAATCACCCTGCTAGCCGGAGACTGCACGGAGGACTCTGTACAGTGGCTGGGGAACAAACGGAGAAGGTGAAGAGAAAGGTGGGCTGAGCTGTGGATTTTTGCCAGTCCGGAGGGCGCCGTCATTTTGAAGGTTTAAAAAGCAGCTTGACAATTTTGGATATTTAAAGAGACAGCGCTCT